TCGATGCGGCGGTATTTACCGCGCCAGCATCAGTTACTAGACGTCGCCCTGGGAGACCAAGGAGACGACATGCTACAACATCTCGTCTTTCTTCACCAGCACCATTATCAGATGTAACATCTGCACCACCCATGTCAGTACCTTCCTCCCACAGCTTAACCATTCAGGAATTGGTGAAAGTGGCACACGCCACGTACATCTGTGATGAAGTGTACAAACAACCCAGGAATGCAAACTCTTATCAAACATTTGTTAAGCAGCATGAAATTTTCATGCAGGCTTCAACCTATTTTTTTATCTCTTGCTGGATTGTATTTGGACTCTCAGGAACAAAAGCAAGTCATCCAATTGTGTGATGAACTGAATTTGCTGATTTTGAAAACACCTGAACAATTACAAACACAGTGGCTTACTCTAAGGCCTAAACAAAAATCTGTTTTGGGGGTTCAATTTTCAGACCCCCCTACCATTGTGCAAAATCCTGATGGTATTCTTTCTGTGACAACTAATGATTCTTCTTCCACTGTGCCTATGCTGCAAAATTCAAAATTCGATCTTTTGGAGATTGATGATGAAATTGATCCGTTTCAGGCTGCATTTCTATATGTGTTTTCTCCTGCCCATTGACAAGGGCCATAAACCTGGAGGAGGTGGATACATTAACCCTTGAATCATTTATTGGGGCTTATGATACATTTTGTAACATCAGGGACATCAAGCCACGGAATATAATCTCTGACAATGCTGCCACATTCCGTGCAGCATGGCCAAGATTCTTACGCACAAGCCAAGAGGAGATTGTGCAAAGATTTACCACCAAGGAAGTCAAGTGGCATTTTAATGCCGCCAGAGCTGCATGGTTTTATGAAAGGATGATGGGAATTATCAAAAATCAATTGGCAAGATCTTTTGGGGGCATCCCCTTTACAAGCAGGAATATGGTCAGATCAGCGGTGACCTTTGTGGCAAGAGTCATCAACTCCAGACCATTGACTTATGTGCCAACCGACCGGAAAAATTCTATTGCCATTACCCCATCTATGTTTCTGAACACACCTCAAGCTGACTATACAACTGACCCGGACTTTGACCCATACTGTTATGGACCAAATGCAATTCAGTTTACTGAACATACTAACAAGGAAGGATTGACTAAGCTTGCAAAGTTTCGCATTCCTATTGTCCGACAATTGTGGAAGTCATTCTATGATGGCTATGTTACATGGTTACAGAAATTCCCAACAACAAAGCAAAAATCTGACCAAGCATATTTGGAACCATCAATTGAGCAAATTGTGTTATTAAAACAAAATGCATTCCACAATGACACGCCAATGGGACGTCTCAAGTGGAAGTTGTGCAAGATATTAAAGGTTCACAGAAGTCCCAGAGACCACTGAATCCAATCAGTGGATGTCCTGACTTCACAAAAATACAACCGAGACGGAACATCAACTCCGGACATCCTGACGAGTCAGTCGATTGAAAACTTGATTCCCCTGGAAATTGAGGACAAAATGGAAATGGTTACTTCTGTGGAACAATCAACTACAGCAGCAGAGTGAAAGACAATTGTGTCAACTAAGTCCAGTTGTATTCAAAACATTCCATATGAATATATAAACAATCACCAAAAACAAAAATGCCACCGAAAAAAGGAGCACAAGATTCAACGTTATCACCAACGAAAAGATCAATGTCCGCATGTCTATATACATGGACCAGAGGCACTTGGTTAACATTCCTTTACCAAAAACAAAGGCAACCCGTTTTCAATAAAAAAAATCAATGCCTCTCAAATACTGGTCAAATATGAACAACAACGGAACAGCCCACAAACCTTAAGTTCAAAAATACCTTCAACCGCGAGATCAACAGTCTCATACAAATTAATGGTTTTGACCAGTTGGATAAGGCACTGCAGCCTTGACTTTGCTTGCCGCAACTAAAACGCACCCACGCAGCCCGACAAGCCACAGCCAGTGATCATTGGACATAAAAATGATCATTTGTTCATTTTCATCCACAACTTTGAGGACGCATCTGATTGGCCATGCGCCTTTCTGCCAAAGAGCTGCAACCTGATCACGAGACAACCAGGTCAATTCTGGAGCGAACGTTTCCTCAAAGTTGCTATACATCAACTCCTTGATTCTGGAAACATGTCAAACAGTCAATATTAACAATCCAATTTCTACAAACATTTTTCTGATTGGCTCTTACTCGTCAAATGGATTCTTGATGATCCCTCCACCTCCGAAAGCCACATGACCGCGTGCCACCATTGGACACGGGTATTCAGAATCCTTCCGCAAATGTATATGCGGTTCATACGGTGACTTTCCTGGTGTTGTCGTACCATCCGGGTTCCACACTGGTGCTTGCCCAGGACAAATCATAACACTGGTTTTGGAATCCAAAGCTGTTATCATTGTGACAAAACACATTGCCAGGACGTGGTTGCGGGCAAACCACAAATATGCCCGGGAATTCAAGTGACCAAAAGATTTCCAATCATGTTTGGTAATCTTGGCGTAAGGCGCCAAGAACTCCAGTGGAGTGGGCAAAGCCCACCATCCAGTCACGTCAGCAGAATGACCATGGAGTTGGCCAACCTCCTGCCGCAGCATCTTGTCCAATAGGCCTTGGAAGAATGATCCCGCATCAAGACGTTGTTCTGTTGTCACCAATCCTTGGTCCAAACGCCTAAAAGGGAAAGATGGCAATCCCGTCTCAGGATGAAGTTGGAAATGTACCTTCTTCCCCAGCCATTCTCCAGGGGAAGAAGCCCCCAATGCAAACACAGGGCATTTGAATACCCTGGAAAGGCGGCAATAATATGCCTTCAAATCATTGAAAAACGCCAGGAAGTTTGAGTATTTGCAGTAGCTGGTCACTGTCACCAACTCCTTGATGTCGTTGGTTCAAATCCAAACGCACAATTGCGTGAATTGGAAGTCCTCTGGAAGCTTCAAATCCTCATAAACGCGCTTTCAAACATCTTCCGCTCGAAAGGTTATATTTGCTTCCGTATACAGCACAGAGACTGCTGGCACCATACTGAAAAAATAGACTAACAAATATTTTTGAAAAAAGCTTACAAACATTGTTTTGACAACACAAACTTGGTATACTTAGCAGGCGAGCCAAAGCTGTCCATCGCATATGGAGCAGCTGACAATCTCCAGGAATTATGGCTAAGGGAGTACAACGCCCAAGATCTTTCTGGGCCAAAATAACCTTTGGAGCGCAAAAGATGTTTGAAAGCGCGTTTTTGAGGATTTGAAGCTTCCAGAAGACTTCCAATTTATGCAATTGTGCATTTGGATTGGAACCAACGACATCAAGGAGTTGGTGACAGTGACCAGCTACTGCAAATACTCAAACTCCCTGGCGTTTTTCAATGATTTGAAAGCATATCATTGCCGCCTTTCCAGGGTATTCAAATGCCCTGTGTTTGCATTGGGGGCTTCTTCCCCTGGAGAATGGCTGGGGAAGAAGGTACATTTCCAACTTCATCCTGAGACGGGATTGCCGTCTTCCCCTTTGAGGCGTGTGGACCAAGGATTGGTGACAACAGAGCGTCTTCGTGCTGGATCATTCTTCCAAGGCCTATTGGACAAGATGCTGTGGCAGGAGGTTGGCCGACTCCATGGTCATTCTGCTGACGTGACTGGATGGTGGGCTTTGCCCACTCCACCGGAGTTCTTGGTGCCTTACCCCAAGATTACCAAACATGATTGGAAATCTTTTGGACACTTGAATCCTGGGCATATTTGTGGTTTGCCCGCAACCACGTCCTGGCAATGTGTTTTGCCACAATGATAACAGCTTTGGATTCTGAAACCAGTGTTTTGATTTGTCCTGGGCAAGCACCAGTGTGGAACCCGGATGGTACGACAACACCAGGAAAGTCACCGTATGAACCGCATGTACATTTGCGGAAGGATTCCAAATACCTGTGTCCAATGGTGGCACGCGGTCATGTGGCTTTTGGCAGCGGAGGGATCATCAAGAATCCATTTGACGAGTAAGGGCCAATCAAAAAAATTTTTGTAGAAATTTGATCGTTAATTTTGACTGTTTGACATGTTTCCAGAATCAACATTCAAAAAAAATTATGTTTTCAAACACTAAAGGAAAGCAGAGAAGACCGCATTGATGTTTTGCAGTGCCTCCATTTGTGTAACGCTTCCCGCGTCATCCAAGTTTCCACTAGCCGGCCAATGTCCAAAACCGCCGCAGCCCTCATTGAATCAAAGGATAGTGATCTTAGCCGATCGCCGACGTCCTTGCACTTCTCCAACGCCGCCTGCAAGGCCTGCACTGTCACCTTGTTCTGCATAGGTGGCCTTGATGTTGCCGCTGGCCCAGAAAGATCTCGGGCGTTGTACTCCCTTAGCCATAATTCCTGGAGATTGTCAGCTGCTCCATATGCGATGGACAGCTTTAGCTCACCTGCCAAGTCAAAGATGCAAACTCAACCTATGGATATATTCATGTTCAAAACATAAAAATGTGTACAAACATTTTCCGTGGTGTATCTGTTGTATATACCATTTTGCTCCTTGCAAGCTCCAAACGACAGGAAGAACAACAAGCCGCCACTTCCAAATGTCGTACAAAGGCGGCCCTCGTCAATCTGCATACAGGAGCTGAAGGCCTCCTTCAGGCAGTTGTCAGAGGCAGCGATCAGTACCTCTCCACGCTGAATCCGCTCCTTGTCTGATGCGATTTGACGCTCAACCGCATCACGGCACTGCTCCAGTTCTGCTGCTGTCTGCTCCAAATTGTCAAACTCCTTCTGCACCATGTTGATGCGCAGACAATTGATGGCCACACCTTGCTCCAAATGAGACCATGTCATATTGGTGCATGCCATTGTTTCCACAACTGGTAACAGCGTGTTCAGTCAATGCAGACAATCTGCATTTAGCCATCTGAAAACAGGGGCAAGCTTGACGGCCCCCTCTGGAAACCGCATCACGCCAGCATTGTCATCCAGCTTGCGCACCTTCCAAATACCTTTGCCAGTACGCGCCTCCATCCAAAATGGTTATTGAAATTAATATTGGAATGAGTTCAAAATCTTCTTCAGAAGCATCTTGGGAAACTATCCCGCTCCTTGTTTTCCGGAACCCACAGTACTCGGATTCCAAATGATTCCACTTTCGTCCCCAGACCATTTCTTCCACGTTTTTCTATAGGAATATAGAAGTACTTTTAATTATACTTACCCTTTTTTTTTAACAATGGGGGCCAGCTACTGCCATTCATTATTGTACAAAAACAATATCCTGAAATTGTATAATTTTAGAAATATTTTCCCTTTATCTTATTACGACTCAGCTTGATGCCACACACTGGTTCAGTATGCTGGTTCATTTAAAAGGAGGGGGCACCTTTCAGTAGCTGGCGGTCTTCCGAGTACGAAACATCCCCCAATGCGGATAATTTGGGCGGACAATTATGTGTATTGATTCCATTTCAGTGATCGTCGTGCTTCGATGAAATTTAATAAGACATCTTTAATGTAATGATTGGAAAATTCATTCTTCACATTCCACAGGAACACTTAGAAGTCTTTTCATATACTGTATTCCACATACAAAAATATAATGAAGTTCAAGCATTTGAAGATTGCCATGATTTTCGGTTTGAGTGTTGGTGCAGGAGCCGCAGCAGTTGCCTGCTACATTTTAAAAATGTGGCAAGAGCGTGTAAGTGAGAATTCCGCATTCATGTATTTTTTAAGTGTTGTATGAACTCACTAACAATTTACTGCTGAGACTAACAAGATAATAGTTCAAAAAAGGGATATCATATTATTGTATTACACACACAAAAACGTTCACCACATAGGTCTCCGATTCTTGACTACGGCGGGACACTGACCGGCGCGGCACAACCCCAGAGGCTTCAACACATGAAGCAATTCTCATTATGTATTTCTCTCTTCCCGCCGTAGATGGGTTACATTAAGAAAAGGTTGCTTCCTGTTGGATATTAAGATTGCTATTCTAACCAACCGTCACAATCATTCATCCAATCAATTATAAGGGGGGGGGCATCCTTCAACTTTCATTTCTACCGTGTGATAAAATAAATGGAAATAAACATATACGCTCCATCCATATGTATTATATGAATTATGTATTATTACATGTAATATTTTGTGTGCAGAAATTCTGCAAGTTTGTAAAAAATAACATTGCGTCGGACGCGTCAATAAATGTGTTTATAAGTTGAATAAATAATCATGTATTGAAATTAAATACTGCGTGTTTTTCCATGTACAACAACAAATTAAAGTGACAATAAAAGATATGCATATAAATATATACGCTCCATCCGCTTATGAGTGATCTTTACTTTCTTGAATTCAGAAATTACAGCTTCAACATACCAAATGTCTCAATGACATCATTAACAAGTGGACAAGGTTCCTCACCTATACAGCAATCAGAGAAAAGGGAAATCCAAGCCAGCAAGAAGCAATTATTGCAGAATCCATGTGTTGACAATGAGGAAGGCACCTGTTTTTTATTTTTAGTCATTTTGTCAAATTTCGTGAATGTACCAATGTACTTAAATATATATGTACCTGCCAATTGTTAATTTTCTCTACGTTTCTTATTTTGGGTGTTATTCTTGCTTTTACTTTTCTGTGTGTTTTTTTGTTTTGTAAAATGTATAGTGATTTGATATACAACTTTACTCAATTAGATACAATGCTGCCAATATTGTTAATATTTTTGGTAGTTGTTGTATTTTTGGGCGTTTTTAATCTTATTTTCTTTGTGTTTTATTTCTTGAATGCCACTGCTGTTGAGCCGGTTTAATTGCCAGGAAGCTTGAAACTTTGATGAACAATTTTCTGCTTATGGCATCATGTCTCAATAAGTCACTTACAACACATGCCTTGAAGTGCTTCATGGTGTCTGTATTCCCATTGACTGAAATGGCAATGATGTTGTCTGGATATCTAAAAAAATTAAGATACATTGTGCAGATAGAATGTCACATATGTGAGAACAATTCTTGAAATACTTACATGCTGGTAGTAATTGTGAAGCCAGCACATTCTATCTTCTTCAGTTTTCCAATTACATGTGTGCGTAGTACAGTGTTATTAGGCAAGCATAAGGAACCAAGCTCGCGCAGAAGTTTAATTTCCTCACCCAACTTCATTTGGCTCAAGTTGGTTTTTCCAAATATGTCAGAAGGTAGTGCGTATGCTATATTTGGACCAGGATGAGGACCTGTATAATGAAGTGGTATACATAATTTTACAATGCACGGTTAAATAAACGGTGGCAACAATATTAACCTGGGCAAATTCCTGATGCAGAAGAATTCTCTGACGTCGTAGGCATGGAAATTTCCTCAATGCTTTCAGCATTTTTACTGCATTCAGCATGAGGCCCGGTGTACAATGCTGAGAGTGCTGATGATCTCAAGAAGTACTTGCTGGTGTAGAGGTTCAGGTTCAGTTTCTTGAGAATACGAAACGGAACATGCTTTGCAAGTAACAGAGCCGTTGTACGCGACACAAACTTTTCTTTAAGTATACGAATAATACGCGCCTGCACAGGCCTCCTCCAACGTTTTACAAGGTCAACCCTGCTCAAGGATTCTGCATCAGGACCCCTAACTCTTTCTCGGAATGCACGGATGAAACAGCGGTAATCATCAAGGGTCAGGAATGAAAAATCTGGTGATTCATCGTGACGACTCATCTGCAAAGGCAAAGAATGCGTGAAAACCGTTAAAAAAACATTACTTATCCGCAAACAACGGTAGTTGAAGTAAAGTATTTCTTTATTGTTAATAAGATACTGTATATCGTTCGCGGGATGGAAAGGAGACCAAATCAGTTACAGATTATTGCATTTCATGCGTTTTTCAGTTTTCTTAAATTTTCGGTTTTTCAGAAAAATGATTTTCAAAAGTGATTGAGTTAATAGAAACGTTGGACAATGTTCAAAAATTTACAAAATGTTTGCATTATATCAGCACGGCACCCCCAGCATCCCACCCCCTTACATGTGATGATGAAAGGAAATAAACGCATATGTTTTCAATGTATCAAACGCTTTTTATAAAACGCAGTTGAACAAGTAAAACCCCAAAAAAAATCATCATGCATCAAATAACAAATTACTCGTCAAGCGCTGTCAAGGAAAGTCGATTAGCCATGTCCTGATATGAAAAACACGTCTTGAACGCATTCCATGTTGTATTCCTTTTCCTAAAAACTTTCTGGAACCAGAATCTGAATTTTGCGTAATTGTCGGTGTTGATCATGTTGTTCTCCTCCAGGTACCTTCCTATGACAGTAATTGCGTGTATGTCATATGCATTGGTTAACTGTGAAAGTTGAAGACAATGTTGAATATATTAACCATTGTAAAACATATTAAAAAACACGCATTTAAAAAAAATGCGTGTTATTGATACACACCCATCTATAGAATGCAAAAGTTCCCACAGCCCCGTCGAATGAGAAGCATTGCTTTTCGTTTGGCATGCTTCGTATTTCATGAAGTAATGTTGCCGCCCCATCTGCATCCAACAAATTTGTATTCTGTACTTCTTCCTCCAACACTTTATTGAAAAGTCGGGGCAGGAAACCTTCTGTATTTAAGTAATCTCGTATCGTTACTATATACTGACTGCTGTGTTCCCACCTTCTGCTCCTTCACTCTACAGGATATATAGTTGCAATTGGATTTGGGAGCCTTGGATGGCTGTATAGGAATTTCATATAGTCAGCCGTAACCATGGCTTCCAAATCCCGTTGCATGCTACATGTATACTATACTAGAATGTTAAACCTGTAAGAATCAAAGTTTTTTTAAATATAGTTGTGATTGGGTTTTCAATCAGCAGAAATAAATTTTTTTTAGGACCGAATGTTCCTTCCAACAAATTGGAAGGACCATGTGTGAAAAGATTTATGACCAAACACATGTTCGACAAGCCCCTGGAAATAGGATTCCTTGTAATACATACGCCTGTCCTTTGATGGTAAATGCCGCCATAATAAAGCGCGAAAAATAAAGGCTTATGCCAAAAGTAATTGGACACTCTCTTTATTCAAGGACAAGTCGGTTGTCTCCTTCATGAAAAGTATAGTACGTATGGAGGAAAAAAAATGCAATATGCTAGCAGCCAATAGCAGGCATGCTTTTCAGGAGGAGGAGCTTGGTCCTTGAAGAAATCGCTTTCATTAGTTATTATAGTTGCTGCATATAAAATTCGGCTGCCCTGCGGGATGACTGGCACTGGTATTCCATCACATCATGGATGAAAAACATCCCTTGTACGCGCGGGAAAGCATTCTTCCAAACAAAATTAAAGTTTAGTGTAGTGTGATCATTATGTGCGGTTCGTGTTGTTTGAATCAAGTATCAATTTGTATAACTATTTCATAATTTATATATGAAATTTTATATATATTTATATGTCATTGTATGTCATTTATTCACGTGAATATAGAAAGAAGTGCTGTCGTTCGTGGACGTCGTGCTCATTATAAAGAAGAACAGCAACGTATATAACTCGTCCAGAAACTTGTCACAAGTGCAATCAAAGGTATAATTCGTTTTACATTTTGAAAATATAATTTGTTATTACAATTTTCTTTCAAAAATTTTACAGTTTACAAGGAGAACGACTAGACCACGGACATATACAAGCGGACCTACCTTTGCTGCGAATACATTAAGGAGGATTCGAACAAGATGTACTGGACTGAAGATATAACTAATTATGACTGTGACAACATTCTAAGAAACACACATTGTGGCCGACAGCTGAAGTTTGGTCACATAACCCTCGCTGATGCAAATTTACCGCCGTGGGAAAGATTTCAAAAATGGATCATGATGTTTTTCATCTGCAGAAACCCGGAGTGTCAATACAAAATTACACTCCTTCATCGTCCACGTGATGAGCGTGTTGATGGTGCACAAAATGGTGTTGGTGGTGCACAAAATGGTGTTGGTGGTGCACAAAATGGTGTACAAGCATTTCTTGTTGAATGATTGTTTATGTTGTACATTTGTTATGAAATGCGTTAAAAATTTTTGTACATAAACGGTTTTTGGTGCTCATTAAAGAAGAACAGCAACGTATATAACTCCAGAAACTTGTCACAAGTGCAATCAAAGGTATAATTTGTTTTACATTTTGAAAATATAATTTGTTATTACAATTTTCTTTCAAAAATTTTACAGTTTACAAGGAGAACGACTGGACCACGGACATACAAGCTGACCTACCTTTGCTGCGAATAAATTGAGGAGGATTGGAACAAGATGTACTGGACTGATGATATAAATAATTATGACTGGGACAACATTCTAGCACACACACATTGTGGCCAACAGTTGAAGTTTGGTCACATATCCCTCGCTGATGCAAATTCACTGCCGTGGGATAGATATAAAAAATGGATCATGATGTTCTTCATCTGCAGAAACCCGGCTTGTCAATACAAAATTACACTGCTTCATCGTCCATGTGATGAGCGTGTTGGTGCACAAAATGGTGTACAAGCATTTCTTGTTGAATGATTGTTTATGTTGTACATTTGTTATGAAATGCGTTAAAAATTTTTGTACATAAACAGATTCCAAACAAATAAAAGTGTCCTCTCATTTCGTAAAACCCACACATAGAAAAGCACAATATAAGCACAGTAAAAGCAATTTTTGCTTATATTATCTCGTTACTTCCAATATACTGATTTGTGTAAATTATCAAGTGGTATATATTATAAAAATACGTATTGTGATATTACCTGCTGTTCCCCACGGTTGAAGACCCGGTCCGGTGTCTGTGCTGGTTCATGACATTGTTGCTCCTCTTCCTGGCGGATGGTGTAATAATGTTGATAGGAGCTGGCTTCCTCCCCCTTTTTGGAACGCTCTTTCGCACAGCGCACACTCTTCTGAAACAGTGAAAAACATTACTACGTATCTCGAGAAGTATATTTTAAAATTAATTTGAAAAGTGATGACATCTTCAAAAATTTGGAAAAGTGTTATATACGTACTTTTTTGGATGCATTTGTCATTCCTTCATCGCATTCACTCATGCTGGCGCTGTTGCTGTTATATTTCCTGGAACTGCTGGAAGAATGTGTCCGTTTCTTTGACATTCTTGAAGGTATGACACGTCTCAGTTGGCAAGGTGCTGGTCCTGCTTTTTCCTCATTAATGGCCACATTGCTTTCTCCAAGATCAGCAGAAGCCAGAATTTGCACCTGATTCTGATGAATAAAAGTACATGTTTGTATTGTTGGTAGAAAAACAATATGTAATTCCCTGATTCCCAAAGAACATACTTTTATGGCGTACTGTGTGGCCATGACAAGGTTGAACAGCACAATGTCATCTCTACAGAATCTTAGTAGATTGATGATGAGGTTCATTACGAGCTTACAGCGGGCGCAATCCTCCGCTGTTGATTTTGCAGTTTCAATGCTTATCACTTCCCTCGCATCAACGTCCAGCCGTTTCGTCTTCATGAATTGCACAAAATTTCTGCTCAACGCACATCCTTCGCATTCTTCAACTGATGATAATGTATCAGGAGACAGATCCGTTTCGGTTACCGAAGTTGTAAGATTTGGACAATAACGGTTTGTCTGTGTGTTAGCTGTCCTTATTGAGGACGGTTCCATTTTTGTACCTTTCTTCATGGTACATGCAGGAACATCCGTTTGTGTACCTTTTCATAAAAGTAAATGTAAAATTACTACGTAAATTATATGTGATCAAGTGGAACATTATAATAATAAATTTAATTTGTCACAATAATGGATTCACTTGACGGAACGTTAATAAAGTTGAGGTTCTCAGTAACTGCAGCGGTCGTGAGTGATTTTACAATGAATAAGTTTGTTAAGAGCAATACTTACAAGAGCTAGGCGTTTGATTATACAATGTTATTAGCAGTTTCAAGAGATGAAGGACAACAACGAAGTATTGTGTGGTACAATTGTGCTGTACGTTTTTGTTTAGTACAAGTTTTAAATGAAATGACTATTGGCAATTATTTGTCCTTTCTGTACAATTATTTGTCCTTTCGTACATGCGTTACTCAGATATGTTTGAACGAAATTTCCAAAACTTCTGTCAAAGCGTACATCATGTAAATTATGTGGAACAACGTTCCTATTAATGACCAAAACGTTGGGTTAAATGGGCCGTTTTTGAATATAACTGCTGAAGGCAGTAACGAAAAAGCAGATGTAGTCATGAGTGAGGAAAACCGTAACATAATACTGCACTTGCAAAAGCTATTTTTCTTGCAGAGATGTTTTCTGTTAACTGCGACGTCGTTTATCAAGGGTCAGGTCTCACAGTGATTCTCTTGGTGGAGGGGATTGAAAACTGGTGTTTGGCAAAACGGTTGCAAAAGTTAAACAACATTCTCTGGTTCAATATGACCAAACACGGAGGGGTGTCTCACGTAAGGATTGAAAGACTTCCTGCAAGAACATTTAAATAGCACGACTTTGACTCAGGCAGCAAATTCTGGAGTTCCGGCTTGCAATCTAAGTTCGGAGATCTTGTCAGCAATATTGGAGTTGAGTAATACATGAACCTGCGTTGAAGTTTTCTGTTTTCAAGAAGTGCAAATTGAATCCTTACTTTTGAATGGAATAAAGTATACGGCCAATAACAAAGAGCAAACACATATTTGAGAACAGGTAGTACTGTGTTGGTCTTTATATAGCAGCATATGCATATGCAATGGCAGGTGCTGCACTCTCAAGAATTGCAAAAATTGGAGGGAAAATCTTTAAAAGTTTTCTAAGCCAGGTAAGTCGAAAATCATTTTTGGTAAGAACATTTCAAGTAATTACATTTTTCATTTGGAAATTTACTTGTGAAGGCTGATAGTGGAGACGCCCCTTTTTTTCAAGTCAAATTGTACTTGGGGGGTATTGAATACGCAAAGGCAGGTGCATTTCTCTGAATTGCAGGACTGGGCATGTGTTTGGGAATGTTTGTTTCCAGACGTATGCTGCTAAGCTGCGTAAGTTGATTTTCATAAATGCTACACAAATTTGAACAAATTTACTAAAAATTTTTTATTCGATGTTTATATTGTTTATTTATGGATTCAACGTGCTATGCAATTGTCTAGGCGGATAGTGGAACAAGAGAGGTGAAAGTGATAAGAATTGAAAACGGGCAGGACAATTCCAAAACGGAAGTACAATTGGTGGCATTGGAAGGATATTCTGTGATGGGAAGACATTCAACGCACGTGACAATTATAAACGTTCAAATTGAGATCTAGAGCGTTGTTGTGAGGTATTTGGTCCTGGTTTTTGGAAATTTACTTGTGAAGGCTGATAGTGGAGACGCCCCTTTGTTTTGAGTCAAATTGTACTTTGGGGGTATTGAATATGCGAAGGCAGGTGCATTTCTCGGAATTGCAGGACTGGGCGTGTGTTTGGGAATGTTTGTTTCCAGACGTATGCTGCTAAGCCGCGTAAGTTGATTTTCAATAATGCTACACAAATTCGAACAAATTTACTGCAAATTTTTTTTATCCGATGTTTATATTGTTTATTTATGGATTCAACGTGCTATGCAATTATCTAGGCGGATAGCGGAACAAGAGAGGTGAAAGTAATAAGAATTGAAAATGGGCAGGACAATTCCGAAACGGAAGTACAATTGATGGCGTCAGAAGGATATTCTGTGATGGGAAGACATTCAACGCAAGTGACAATTATAAACATTCAAATTGAGATCTAGAGCGTTGTTGTGAGGTATTCGGTCCTGGTTTTTTGGGTGATGACAATCAGTCATAAGAATATAAACGGAAGTACAATTGGTGGCATTGGAAGGATATTCTGTGATGGGAAGACATTCAACGCACGTGACAATTATAAACGTTCAAATTGAGATCTAGAGCGTTGTTGTGAGGTATTTGGTCCTGGTTTTTTGGGTGATGACAATCAGTCATAAGAATAAGTTACTTTTTTTTTAATTTGGTTGCCTTTGGGAGATACTTCATGGAAAATCTGTGAGAACCAGTGAAATTTTTTTATTTGTGACAAATTTGTTTTTGTAAATTTTTGTACAAATTGTAAATGCTATGAATGTATTCCGTTGCCTTTGCAAGGTACTGCAGGGAAGAAATCCCTGAGAACCAGTTAAATCTTGTTACAAATTTGTTGGGAAAATATCCCTGTGAACCAGTGAAATTTTTGTAATAGTACTGCAGGGAAAAAATTCGTGAGAACCAGTGAAATCTTGTTAAAAATTTGTTTTTTTTAATTTTTGTACAAATTTTGCTACAAATGTATTTGGTTACCTTTGCCAGGTACTACAGGGAAAAATCCCTGAGAACCAGTGAAATATTGTGACAAATTTGTTGGGAAAATATCCCTGAAATGCATGCAAAGCAAGGAATGGTTGTCCAGCTGACAACAAATACTCTTTATGCACCATTTCCAGCTACATGGTTCAAAAGTCTTAGGACAATAGACCAACAAAGACAGTAAGACGCCAGTAATGACATTGATTGAGTTGAATCTTTTGTAATCAAAGAATCCAAACAAAATCCCTTCTCTGAATTTTGCCAGCAGCAGCTTCTGATTTCTCATCAGCCAATTTTTCAAACTATTGGCATGCCTTTCAGCTTGCCTGATAGATTCTGGAAAATTTGTTTTAGGTTTCCACAGCATTGCTGCTTGAAACCTCCCTAGAAGAAATCAAACTGTAGGAATAAACACACAAGTAGTAGTTTAAGTTGTAGAAGGGTCCGGATTGGTCCGCACTTGTATGTGACGATATTCTAAAGTTTTTATAGTACCGTCAGTTTTATCAAAGTCACCGGTTGAGTTCCCAAAATGGCATACTCTTTGAAATCTAACTTTGTTCGCGTCGATTTGAAAATATACCATTTCATACTAGGACATTGGTCCCGGCCGCAGCCCTGCTGATTATCTAGTTTCATCCATAACCTTTTCTTGATCAATCTTCTTTTGAAATTACTTTGATTCCTTTTTTAGTTTGACATCCTTATTTGTGTGTTCATCATCAAATTCAACATCTTCCCAGGCCTAACCAGGCGTGAACATACACTGCTATAAGATTTCAAAAATATCATGGCAGTCAAAATAGTTTCAGTGGCCAGAATTGAATTTCATATCAGAAGGCTGAAAAGCTGCAAATGGCAGAAAGTCTGCAATGCCATGACTCACAAAAAGATAAACTTGCCCAAGTTAAAAATAGAATGGTTTAATTGGGTAAAACTAGACCTGATTTTGCAGGCTTTGAAGTGCAAGACATGGATTATGATGAAGTTGCTGTCACTGTGGGAGTCAAGCAGTGGAATCTGATCAAGATTAAAGATGGAAGTCATGTTGTTGATAAGACTTCAGGAATTTATGGTCATGAATCTGAATTGGGTTGAGTTCTGGCCAGGGAATTGGAAGTGCCTGAGTCAGCTGAGGTCACATTTATGAGAATTGAGGGGAGATTAATTAAATAAATAAGATGTTTCACATAACTGAATACACTGGGCATTTCTGAAACAGAGAGCCTGGGGAAACCATATGACATCAAGCAATGGGAAAATATTGTGCGGAATTTTCTCGAGGTCCGTCTATGAAACAAGGCGCCAAATTGGAGCCGAAACTGTAATCCAATCGGCG